ATTGTTAGTTTTTCGCTTTGCGATTTTGCAAAAGAGGCTGTTTCTATGCCTTGATACCCTGACCTACTGGTCATGGAGCAACTCTATTGTTGCGCCAAGGCTCGCCCTTTATGCATTTCGATACAATTTTTTAGTAATTTGGTAGCATATTTCTTGCGATCCTAGCATGCTTATGTATTCTAGTTGTCTTCCGTGGTTTCCAGGTTCAACACTTGTTCAGAGTATTGAGCAAAGAGTGACCCCTGTATTTAATAATCTAGTCGCCAATGAAGGAAGCTGTGATATAGAGGCTGAGCTTTTTAATCACAAGTTTATTATTCCCAAAAGGAGTTGTTTCTATATGGTATGATACATAGAAGATTCTTCTTTAGTTGTTTCTAAGAAAGCCTTTTTTTTTCCTTCATAAAAATTTCTAATCCAGAATCATTTGGGTTTTACTAATGGCTTTCATTATTTTTTTCTAATGGTTTTTGTTTCTTTGAATCTAATTTATCTGCTTTGTTTACAAATCTGACTTTTTGCCTTTATTGTTCTTGTTGCCTTGAAGTCTGATTTGCGGCAGATTGAGAACTTAATCCCAGGTAATGAGCCAAGATCCTTTCATCTTGTGTTTGAGGGTGGACGTTATTAAATTCCATTTGTATGGACCTACAATGTATTGGGAAGTAGCCAACTTAAAGGCAGAAATCCTCATTTCTTGCCATATATCTTACTCACTGTTTTAAAAGGCTTTTCTTGGGCTCGCCCCGGGGCGGGGCACTATCAAAACACCTTGAAACTCATGTGTGAGGCTTAGTTCTCTGAGGCTTATGCCTCCAAGCGCCCAACGGTGCATCCTAAATACGCCTACCGTTCAACGCTCGAGATTCGCCCCAACAGTTCATATGCAAATCATGTGTTGAATTCACTAATTTGCACTGTTAACTATCAAAATTCTTTAACAAATGGATGATTAAAGTTCTTTTTATCTATAGAAATATGAAAATTGTGAATAATTCAAATAACGAAATATATTATTGCATACTTACTAATTGAGAACATCGTGAGAGTGAATATCATTTGAATATTTCTTCTAAAAATAGATAACCAAAATTTATATCTTTACTTGATAGATCTTCATGTCTTAGTCTATGTCTCTTAAAAGTATAATAAATTTTTTATTTTACTATTTAAAATAATTTTATATTTACTCATGAAGGAGTAATATTTTAAATTACAGTATTGAAAAATTTATTGTGTATTTACTTTTAAAGAGGTAAAATATGCAGTTTGATAATATTTTTTAAGAAATTATAATTTTTAATTGTTTGAAAGTTAAGAGGTTGGAGTTAGTTTATATTTCATAGTAACTTTAACAGTATTGTATTATTTATACTTGTAAAACATACTAAATATTTTATTTTATATAAGTTTCTTTAATTCTTTTTAGTTTTTTTTTGAACTTTTAATGCATCTCTTTATAATTTATTGTGTTATAATGCTATATTATTTATTCATAAATTTAAAAAATTAAAGATCCGTGGGGCTTACTCCCTATGTCTCGAGGCTTTCGTCTCGCCCCGTATCAAGTAAAACGCCCCGCCTCATGCCCTCGCCTTTTAAAATACTGATCTTACTCCATGGAGTACTAGTTTTCATGGTTATTGCATGAGTTAGAATTCTGGAGCTGCTGCTTAAACTCCGTGTGGTGTTTTCTTGTTACAGCTGATTCTGATTGTGGCTTCAATCTCATAGTCATAGATCCCCCTTGGGAAAATGGCAGCGCTCATCAGAAACTGAGGTGTGTGTTAATCCTTCCCGAGATTTGTCTCTCTTGCTTCTAGATTATTTGCTAGTCTTGCCTTGCGTTTATTTTCGAGGGTTCCACTCTGCAAAGTTTTTTTCTTGAAGAATATCAGTTGTAGAAACAATGCATATCCTGTACACCCTACAGGGAAATTCTCTTTAAATTTTGGGGTGAGGTGGGGTGTGGTAGACATCGGATGGTAGTTGAATGAAACAGATATTATAAGTTTGAATTTCCTGCAAGTGATTAGAACGGGTCAATTTATATCTGCTTTGTATATTAGAAGCTCAAACTATTAGGCGTAAAGGTCTGTGTTGTAGATTGCTTCAATTCAATATGCAATTCCATGTGGTTGCAGGTACCCAACTTTGCCTAACAGATACTTCTTGTCTCTCCCCGTCAAGCAACTTTGCCATACCTATGGAGCACTTGTTGCATTGTGGGTTACCAACAGGGAAAAGTTGCGAGGTTTTGTAGAGAATGATTTATTTCCCAAATGGGGAGTAAAATATGCAGCTAGCTTTTACTGGTTGAAGGTATCATTTCTTACACAGCTTATGTAGACCCTTAAGATATCTACTACTCCCAGAGAGAGGAGCTTGGACAATGTATATTGAATGAAGATATATGCTAAGGTATCTAAGTTGATATTTGTTACAGGTTAAGGCAAATGGGATGATGACTGGTGAATTGGACCTCTTTCATCATCGGCCATATGAATGCCTTCTTCTAGGATACTGTGACGGAAAGGTTAGCTTTTGCTACGCCTTAGAGGTGCCTTTGTTAAAGCAACTCTTTTCTTCAATTCCCCGTGATTTTGCAGGAGACTGATTCTGACAATGTAACAAGACTGAATCCTATACCAGATAATCGAGTATTCGTCAGTATTCCTGGTGATTATTCAAGGAAAACCCCCCTTGGAGGTAATCTTTTCGGGTTCTCATTTGAATTTTTCTTTTTTCTTTTTGAATAATGTAGTTTCTCTTTGTGCCTTTCTTTTCTTCAAGTTATTGATTTTCTCTCATTTACTGCTGGATTTGCTGTCTGATAATTTTCCTCCTACCATTGCCCACATGAATTAGAGCTGCTTCTGGATTATGTGCCGGGGTCTAGGCCTGCTCGTTGCATTGAACTATTTGCTAGAGAAATGATACCCGGCTGGACTTCTTGGGGGAATGAACCTCTTCATTTTCAGGATTCAAGATATTTTGTTACTAAGGAAACAGAAAAATAATGCATCTGGTTAGAAACGCCTCTTATTCAGAATTTTCAGTCCAGTGATATGGTATCCTGAAGGTATCCTTGTGTGTGGTTTTATCCTTTCTGTCTAGCTTCCTGCAGAAGATTCAAGAGGCATGAAAGTTATGCTTTTCTCGCCTTATCACTTTTCTCCTGAGTAATACTTGTTAGATGAAGCTTCTTCATGTATTATTTGCTTATATAAGGTTCATGAACTGTGCAATGGATCGATGAATTCAGATGGTTTTATCATTGGCGATTGCTTGAACGTAGAGATTTGTAGACTTCAAGGAAGTTCCAGGTGGCTTGAAATGTCAGCTGACCAGTTCTACCTTTGGTGCAGACATCGTTGGTACATTATTTAAATTCAGCCTACAAATTACTTGCTTGTTTTCCTCTTTGAATTTGACTGGGAAGGTTTTTGATATTTTTTCCTTCTTTCTGTTTTTACAGTTGGGGTTGCTTTGTTGTTTTCTGAATTTGATTTGGCAGTTTACTTATGAGTAAAAATAAGTAGAGATAACTTTCATCTGCTCGTCTAATGTTTCATAATCTTGTTTGAGATTAATTTCACTTGAAACTTTCTCCTCCAGAAGCAGGTTACTCTAACTGCACTCTAACTGTTTGGTACCCCAAAATGCAGAGACCTCGTTGCAACGGCCAATGACAAAACAGTAGGAATGATGGATAGCTTGCATTATATGCTCACAACGGATGGTTGTTTGCTATAGAAGTTCAACTCGCGTTCTCCATGGAGTACATACATTCAAGTCAAACTTCTCCAAGTTCTTGAATGCTCCTTGGTAGCCGAGAAGCGGAAAAATAGCTATGTTTTCAATTTCTACTGGAAAAGTAAGTTTTCAAGATTGAAGGTTATTCATAGTTGAGCGGCTTGAGCCTTTGTAATAGAAGCCAGAGTTGCTAAGTTCTAGTGTCTGGCTCTGTATTTTTCGATGAGTTAACCGTTTTCAGACAAGTGGTTGATATTTAGCGGAATGTAGCGAATCATTTTTCCCCCTTCATTGTAGTGGCCTTCAGTTTTTCTGTGGAAATATTTGTAAGATATTATCATTTTTTCATCAATTTCTGTTTTTTTCCTCCTCCGCACTCCGGTCTAAAGCATGCGATTTACGCCGAGATTATGGGATTTAAGGAAAATCTTTATGGCTTATCCCTGTGGGATTTGAACCTTAAAATGGCTTACAAGTTGACTGTTGTTTGCTCGCATGCCAATTCCAAGGAGTTGATGCAATGTTTGTACTAAGTAGAAGAATGAAAATTTCAAGGTAACTAATAAGGTGTTTGCGCAGATGAAATTTAAAGCAAGCATGAGGAAGAGATTCACATTCAAAATAGAAGCTGGTATTTACACAAGTATGCATTTCTGGATGTACAATTACAGTAATTGTAAGAGATATGGTACTGAATGTATGTACTAGTTTCAAATGTCTACTGTAGCAAGACCATACTCTAATAGTAATACGGAAAACCAAAACTGTGGAGATTCATAAAATTTGTGTATATCGGCAAAAGCCTTCATTCATAAGTTATATGACTTCTGTATTTCTCAACCAAGTGCATTATACGTACTACTTGGTACTGAATCATGTAATCTTTGCATGGAACCTACTACGAATAAATATATTTTGCAAGAAATACTAAGCATCAAGGTCGTTGTAGTATAGTGGTAAGTATTCCCGCCTGTCACGCGGGTGACCCGGGTTCGATCCCCGGCAACGGCGTTAGTTTTTGTCCTTTTATTATTCATTTAATTCAAGACTAATCAGGGTATTCAAGTGCCAGCTTGACAATCCTCTTAGGATTATGTTTATCTAACATTGGATTACCTAAGTTTAACATGTGCTTAACTCCTTAAAATTTCGATTTTGTATCTAAAGTCATGTCCTCGTTTTATGAAGTGATTCATATCTTCATTTCAACCATTTACTTCTTTGTACATGCAGATACAGTCAAGGTGCACGAAGCCACGAACCGTAGTTTCACTTTCTGAGTGAAACCAAATTGATAAAACGTGGCTCAAAAGAAGCCATGTGGTTCGTCAGAGGATTCTTTCAATAAAAATCTTGTTATTCTGGTTTTAAAGATCAGAAGAAGTACATGCACGTTTTGGCATTTATTACAAGAACTTCGAGAAAGTATTCAATATATAAGTTCAAACTTATCTATGCACTAGTGTTAAAATAATTAATGCATTATTAGTTCATCAGAAGTTTTTCCAAATCAAAATGGATTTTGGGAAGGTCAGGAAATAAATTGAAGTTTTCTACTCCAATTTAAGAAAGAGAAGGAAAATGTAAGGATAATAATGAAGTTATAACCACATCATACCACCATCAACAGAAGGATGATTACACACTTCATCGTTTATTGCCTCCATTCCAGAAGGTCTGTGTCATAGCCTTCTAAGCCATCTTCTATCTACTCTTGTTTCCCGAGGAGATCAAGCCATCAATCTGAAATTTTGGACTACTCTACCTCAACTTCGTTACTTTGGACATGGTCCGAGATCTCCTACATTTGATATAGTAAAACATACATTAAACAACATTTATTATAGGGAAGGTGGAAAGTAACAGTTAGTGTTTAATAGAGATTTTTAGGCTTTTTAACATAAACTAAATGTAAAGAATAAAGGGAAAAACCAAAAAATGGAGAAAAAAGATACAGTCAAGGTGCACGAAGCCACGAACCGTAGTTTCACTTTCTGAGTGAAACCAAATTGATAAAACGTGGCTCAAAAGAAGCCATGTGGTTCGTCAGAGGATTCTTTCAATAAAAATCTTGTTATTCTGGTTTTAAAGATCAGAAGAAGTACATGCACGTTTTGGCATTTATTACAAGAACTTCGAGAAAGTATTCAATATATAAGTTCAAACTTATCTATGCACTAGTGTTAAAATAATTAATGCATTATTAGTTCATCAGAAGTTTTTCCAAATCAAAATGGATTTTGGGAAGGTCAGGAAATAAATTGAAGTTTTCTACTCCAATTTAAGAAAGAGAAGGAAAATGTAAGGATAATAATGAAGTTATAACCACATCATACCACCATCAACAGAAGGATGATTACACACTTCATCGTTTATTGCCTCCATTCCAGAAGGTCTGTGTCATAGCCTTCTAAGCCATCTTCTATCTACTCTTGTTTCCCGAGGAGATCAAGCCATCAATCTGAAATTTTGGACTACTCTACCTCAACTTCGTTACTTTGGACATGGTCAGAGATCTCCTACATTTGATATAGTAAAACATACATTAAACAACATTTATTATAGGGAAGGTGGAAAGTAACAATTAGTGTTTAATAGAGATTTTTAGGCTTTTTAACATAAACTAAATGTAAAGAATAAAGGGAAAAACCAAAAAATGGAGAAAAAAGATAAATAGGTTTCTTGGCCAAAGAGAGGTGCCGCCTCACTTTTCTATTGCCTACTTATATATATATATATAGATTCATAATTGATCTAAATCTGATTCTCGATCTCCGTGACATTATAAAACATATAGCCAAACAAACTATTTCACAATAAATTAATCAGGGAATTGTTCCATTAATAGTTTTTGAAGAAAACTCAATAGGGACATTTTAGTCATGACTTATTGGCAAGTGATTGCTAAAATTGCTTATTCGAAGTTATACCTATTGAACGTGCATTGTGGTTATGCACAATTGCTCTCTCAATAGAGGATCCCACTAATCTGTCTTTGCTATTTATGCAATCGTTCTCTATCATTGCCATAGATTTAGCAATAGGCAGTGATACTCATGCGTCATGACCCTAGTATATCAACATTGAAACTTCTTCTAATTCTTAACAAATCAAATCTCCAATTGATTAAGAACATTACCTTCACATAAAAATGTTGAATGGATGTCACAGACAATAATTTTACTACCTGAAAACCTAATACTTACTTGTGCAAGTTTATTACTGCATCATCAACTATAAAACTTTAGCATCAACTCTTACACCTGTACCCAAAAATAAAGTGAAACAAAAAGAAAAGAAAAATGTATGTAACATTCCTTTCCTTTTCTACTTATGTTTTATCATTCATTTTTCAGTTTTCATTTTTTGGATCTTTGAAAATAAAATTCATTTGGTCCATCTAATACATTAATTTCAATTTTTTTTCAAAAGTTAATATGCAAACTCACAAGTAAATTAAGGTCATCTAAGTAAGTGAAAAATAAATGAAACCTAAAAGAAAATAAGGAAAAGAAAAAAGCAAAATCCAAAGGCAAAATAAAAGATAAATAAATCCGCACACACTAAACAGTCGTGATAAATTTTTCAATATGTTTCTCAAAAATCTCCACACTCTAAAATTCCTAAAACAATATAAATAATCATCAATTAGGCCATTATTTTAGAAGCAACAATGCAAAATCACTAAAGGTGACATCGTGAATAGAAAACGAACAAAAAACTACACTCAAACAATTTATAAAGAATAGATTTTAAAAAATAACGTAACATTCAAAAGTTAGGTATGCAAATCGAGGCACCAACATAAATTCACAAAATAAAATTAATATTATCTAAGTAAGTAAAAAGTAAATGAAAACCGAAAAGCAAAAAAAAAAAAGGAGAACAAAGCAAACTCCAAAGGAAGAACACAAACTAAACAATAAACAGATTCGCACACTCTAAGCAGTCGTGATGAATTCGACTTTTGTTTTTCTTTAGAAATCTCAATGCTCCAAAATTCCTAAAACAAAATAAATATTCATCAATTAGTGATTTCTTCCGATATTTTCTCTCTCCAGAAATATAAATACTCCAAACTTTGTAAAACAAAATAAATATTAGTCCATCACCTTAGAAACAGCAATGATAAATCACTAAGGACCAAAACGGTGAATAGAAATAAAAAAATAAAATCACAGTTGGACAACTAAAAAACTAAAAACAGGTATAACATAGAGAATCTTAAAAATAAGAAAAGAAGAATAAAACTTTGTAGAATCATAACTTACCGATAAAATCAATAATAATGCCACAATAGCGAAAAATATACCAACTGCAAAGCCAACAAAGAAATGAAGGGGAAAAAATAGAGATAGGAGGAAAATAAAGAGAGGAGATGCAGAACAAAGAAAAGAAAGTAAAAACTGAAGGTAAGAAAAGCAAGTTGAAATTCTCTTCCTTTCAACAAATCTGATAGAGGAAACAGTTATAATTTGGAAATTATGGTAGCAATTATCATTGTAACAGTTACTTTTCCTACATCATAACTAATGGAACAACTGTAGTAATACATTACAAAATGAATGATTCCATTAGTTAAGTTTGGAATAAAAATGACAGAACACAGTTTAGAGGTATTCTAAAAGTGACTTGAGAAATTAAACCGCAAATAAGAGGACTCTTAAAAGTCTTCTCGGATAATGGTTCCGTTAGCTGAAAGATAGGCATTTCCATTATTATTCCCCAACCGTTGCATTCTTTAACTTGGAAGCATAAATAATTTGACATGAAAAATTAGAGTAAAAGGCAAAAAAAAAAAAATGACAAAAAAGATAAATAGCATTCCTTGATTGATAGGCATGCCACATCAGATTTCAATTGACCATATATATATATATATATA